CTGTTTTCCTCTGCCAAAATGCCTCATGGCTTTTCCAACAGCCCAATATATAGTATGGTCTGCAGGAGCAGGCCCAGTGACACGTCCTCTGAGTTCACATCTAATGCAACGTCAAGTGACTGAGTCCATTCCGAGGTGTCGTGGCAGTTTGCCCCAGAGTGTGAACTCACACATTGGGATTCTGGGATATGTACTTTAGACCCTTCCAGACTTCTGGCACCTACTCGAGATAGTTATTTCCCCGCTCAGAAGCCACCAGGGACCTCTGCACCCCAGTGCTCTCAGCATGGAAGGTGGCCTAGAAGGCTGGCAAGGCCACTCGGCCCTTCCTCTCACTTCTGCCTCCAGCCCGATGAGCGGCCATGAGTCTCTTGGGCACATCACACTCACTCTCACCTCTGGGTTTTTGTCTCTGCCTGGACCATGGATCCCTTCTCCCCATCTTCTCTTCATCTGGCTAGTTCGTTCTCACCTATCAGGTCTCCACTTAAAGACCCCTGATCAGATGCTGGGGGTACCTTTCTATCCCCACTTTTACCACTGCAGTGCATGCCAGCTGACCTCCAGTCGGCAACGCCCACATTAACTGCCTCAGGGCTTTCTGTGGTCCCCAGAATCCAGTCTGCCAACTGCAGGGTAGTCCTGAAGTTCTGAGGAATATCCCCTCAAGGAGCAATCCTCAAACAATGACTGACATAACCAGGTGTATAAATACCCCAGCTCTCTCTTCCTTCGGGTGGGAACAACGCTGATGTGCTTCACAGGGTCTCAGAATTTCCCTGGAGGATTCAGCTCCAGTCACTCTCAGTCCTTACTTGTGTGGCAACGCAGCTTTGGCTACCTTTCTGGTCTCAGTTCTCCAGGATTCCCTTACTCTCCCAGATTAACTATTTACCCTTAAATACTTGTCTCAGAGTCTGCTTCAGAGGAACCCATGCTGAGAGCCACCGCCTCTGGAAAGCCTTCCCTGGCACGTCCGGCATGTAGGCAAGGAGGCTCAGCTAGCCCCTTCCTGATGCTACCACATCCCTTTCCTTATCTCAGTCACAGCACTTACCATACTGTGCGGTAATTGTCCACGTCCTCACAGAAACGTAGACACTTCACTGGGAAAGAAATTAAAATGATATTTAAGCATTTCAAAGGATGGCCATCTTTACTTATAATTAATGAAATTCAAATAAGGCTGATAAATGCAGACAAAAAGGCAAAATTAGAAAACCATCAATTTACAACCCACAATTGATTCAGGCCAGGCCCATCAGTGGCTGAGAAATGGGACATCCACGGGGCCTGGTCAGAAGAGGAGAAATGGGGCCAACCTGTAGCCTAGTGGTTAAGGAAGCTGGATTCCACATGGGCCACCATGGTTCAAATCCTGGCCTCAGAGGCTTGAAAATACATAAATCCCAAATCCCAACAGGATGGAGGCACAGGGAACAGGGGATTGTGGCGTGACCACGCCCCATGGTCTCTCCCTGTCTCTCTCTGTCTTTCTGTGGCAAGTATACATGCCCTCTTGCAGTTTAAAAAATAAAAGAAGATAACCAGCAGGCGGCAGAGTGGTTAAGGCCCTAGACTCCTACATGGCCAACCATGGCTCGAGTCCCAGACCTGGCAGCTTGAAAATTATACTAGGTGTGTGTCTGTGTGTGTGTGTTTGTGTGTGTGTGTGTGTGTGTGGGGGTGTGTATACCCAAACACCTACCCAAATCCCAGAGGAGAATGGAGGAGAAGAGATCATGGCCTCACTATCCCCCCGAGGGGTGATTTCTCACTTTTCCTCTGTGTCTCTCCTTTCCAGCAAGCACACACACCCTATGGCAAAAATCTCAAAGTAAGTAAATAGGTAAATAAAAGAGGAGGAAAATTTGAGCTGGATGGTGGCACAGCACTAAAGCACAGTGCTCCAGGCTCCAGGTTCAAGCCTGGAGACCTCCCTGAGTACACCTGACATACACAAGCCCATGATCGAGGGCTAGCTGAGGCTGGGGTTGAGTGATGGCATCAAGACCCTATTGGGGTATCACTTGCTCACGAAATAAATAAACAAACAAACAAACAAATGTATTAAAAAGAGGAGAAATGCCCCAGCAAGTGGCGTGAAGGTTAAGGTGCTGAATTCCACATGGCCAACTGAGTGGTTCAAGCCCTGGACCCAATGGCCTGAAAAACATGCTGGTGTATGTGCGTGTATGCCCAAAATCCTGAGAGGAGAATGGAGAAGGGATTGCAGCATGGCCATCCCCCTGGGAGGTGATTTCTCACTTTTTTTCTGTCTCTCTGTCTCTCTCTGGCGAGCACATCGTAAATGCACACATGACCTACAGAAAAAATAAATAAATAAGTAAGTAAATAAATAAATAAAAAGGAAAGGAAAAGAAAAACTTAGAAATAAAGAGGAGGAATGGGCATTTACCATGGGGAGAGGTGGTCACCACCTTAACTCTGCGATCAAACCTGGCATCATTAATAGCAGGACACCAAGACATTATGTACCTCCTGATGCGTGGGCAAATGAAGTGACACTGTGAAGCAGCAAATCCTTGCCCCTAAGATGTGTAACCTAAATCTAATCCATCCTTTGGAACTAAATGTTAGTTTATAGGAAATAGAGAATCGATATAAATTATGTCATACTTGAAGTGTCTACTACTAAAGTATTTAGTTGGAAAAATATCATGCCTATAATTATTTCAAAATATATCACCCTCCTAATTAAACAAATATATATTTTTTAATGGTAAGAGTATGAGTAGGTACACATGAGAGAGAGAGAAGCACCCTGGACAGGGTTTCGTCACACCTCCATCTCCCTTCCCCAGCCCTCCAGCTTAGGATCCTGGGTGCCCCTGTGCATGCTGGGAGTGTTTTCAGGCCAACTCCGGGAAACAAACCCATGGTCAGCCATGTGGCGCCCAGGCTTACAGAGCACTGCATTACAACGGCACCACAGCACCCGGGTCAATGTCAGCTTTGTACCATGATTTCTATCTATTGTGTCATCGGAACAGTCATGATGTATTTTTTTTTCTGTTTTTTCTCTGCAAAAAAAAAAAAAAAATGCATCATGACTTTTCCGATGATCCAATGGATGGATACATAGGTGTTTATTGAGGTGTCTGCTTTGCTTTCTCATGTTTGAATTTTTTTAATAAAACATTTATAAAAGAAAGAAAAGAAAAGCCACATAAAGGTAAGATCCAATTTTTTACCCATAGACTCATAAGAAAAAAATTTTAAAATCTGCTATGCTGGCAAGAGTGGTGGGGTGAGGGGGGAACGGGCACTTCCCGAAACTGTTAGTGGGGAGTATTCATTGGAACAACCTTGTTTGTACTTTGGCAGAGACATAGCCCTTGATCCAGCAATTCCACTTCTAAGAATTTATGCAGGTTATACTCAGATATGCACAAATATATATAAATAAGGGTATTCACTGCAGCTTTGTTCATAATAAAAGATTAGAAACAGCACATGTGCCCATCAATAGAAGTTGTTAAATACATTTTTATGGCCCACAATTAACAGTAGGTGAAGGAATGACTACACATTCGAGCATGACTACTGGGAGTCAGCTCGCTGGATACAGTCCAGCTTCATACACAGAAAAGGGCCAGATTTTCCACCTCAGTCAAATTTCTAAGGTCCTGCTTCCTTTAATTCACAAACACTTGAATTTTCCCTCTAGACGCACCACATTATTCTTTGCAAAATCAAACCATGAACCACCAGACCCTCTGAAGAGAAAGAAGAAAACATTTTTCATAGAAGGGTAACAAAGGGAATTTGCTGAACCATGGAGGCTAATATGGCAATTAGGACTTAATAGAAAATGTAGCTTTAAGCTTCCTTGCAGCCAAGACAAAAAGGGCAAGTAGTGGGCCACCAAACATTTGTTACCCGGTAGAAGCAAGGACCCTGATTCCTTATGAGCCATGCTTCCAGTCTTGGGGGGTAGAGGTGCATTCAGGATTCTCTAGCAGCATGACTGGAGCAGGAGGGGGCAACAGAGAAGCTAATCTCCCTAGTACATCTGTTAGCATCTATTGTCTCAGAGGCTGCTTTGTTTGCATTTGCTCGATGCTAAATAAATCAAAATACAGTATTCATAGTGGATGCTTGAGTGTATTAAGGAACTTTGTGTAAATTTCCCATGGATGTTTAAAATAGACTAGGTGACAGCAAAGGTATCACGGGCTTTTCGTGGACTCTAGTTGTGCCTCGGTGTCCCGGGGTGAAGGTATGACCTTGGACCAATGACTTGGCATCTCTGAGCCTCACTGTCCTCACCTGAGAAAAATGATCATGGGTAGATGAAATGAGACGATGCATGGAAAATGCTTAGGCTACTAAATGCTTGCTGTGCTGTTGTTTATATGATTATCTTATCCTCATGACCTTATGGCTAAGAGCACAGACTCTGGAGCCGGGGTGCATGTTTAAATGGCAGCTCCGGCATTTACTAGCTAGATGACCTTGGCAAGGTCGCTTAGCCAGTCTGTGCCTCAGTTTCCTCCTCTGCAAAAGGAAACTGACGGGCTCCACGAGTTGTGGTGGTAAGCAGCGCCTGAGCTCACCGTGAGTGGACTGTAAGCGTTTGCTAAATAAGTCAGAGCGTTCCCTTCTGCCCTTAGCGGCCCTTCAGAGGAAAAGCGAAGGAATATCATTTTCAAAGAGAGACAGGCTCTATCCAGACCCCAGTTTCCGAAAGGAATTCTGTAACACCGGCTGTCCTAAGCGACATTGCTTCTTACAAGATTGAAAGGCAGAATGCCTTCGTAATGCTGGAATCTCTGGCAGGACCCTGAGCTTTCTGGGACCCCCGACCCACTTCCTCATGGCAGGAGCGGGGCGGGAGGACTGACAGCGTTTCTGGCGCGGGCCAGGGGCGGGCCGAGGCGGGGAGGAGGGAGGAGCTCCCGGGATCCCCTCGCCCCTCCCCCACGCCCAGTGGATAATGACATTCACCGCGAAGGGAGGGCGGGAGGGAAGGAGAGGGGCAGGCTCGGCGAGGCCATGTGATGCTGGGCGAGAAAGCCGCCGCCGCCACCGGAGCCTCCTTCTTTCCTCCCTCTGATTCTGGGCTGTCATGGCGACCCCCAACAACCTGACCCCCACCAACTGCAGCTGGTGGCCCATCTCGGCGCTGGAGAGCGATGCGGCCAAGCCCGCGGAGGCCCCCGACGCACCCGAGGCGGCCAGCCCCGCCCATTGGCCCAAGGAGAGCCTGGTTCTGTACCACTGGACCCAGTCCTTCAGCTCGCAGAAGGTAGAGCGCAGGGGGGCTGTGCTGGGGGTGCCAGGGGTGGGGATCGGAGGCCAGGGGAGGGAGCCCAGGCGCTCCGGGGCCTGAGCGCCGTGAGTGAGAGTCAGGAGGGTGGAACTGGGGCTGGAGGACCCGGAGCACGGGGACGCCGGGGTTCCAGGGCTGCCCTGCGGGAGGAGACTGGCCCTGTCTGGGCCCCAGGAGCAGTCTGCAATTCCAGGGGCATCCATTCCGCCTCTGTCCCTCCCAGCACGACCCAGTCTGCTGAGGGCTGAGAAGAGACACAAAGGCGAGGGGACGGGGATGGGCACTGCTGGGAAAGCGGCCTGCGGCGGGGAGGGAGGAGACGCGCCACCTGGGGTCCAGCCCCGGGCCCCACGCAGGCCCTCCATCCACGGCGCCGTCCCGGACACTGCAGGCCCTCCAGGTCACGCTCCTCTGCCTCTCTGTCAGACCGCGGCCTTCCTCTGGCTGGGGCTGGAGGGTCTGACCCCAGTCACCACCCCCTCCCTTGATCTTGAGCTGAAAAGGAAGGCGTTAACCATCCCCTCTGCCCAGCTCCCATCGGATCTGTGTTTTGCTCTTAAAGGCACAGAGTGACCCCAGTCCCTTAGACCCGTCTCAGATCCAGAGGGGCTGGTGGGGGTGGACAGTTAAAAATCCAGCGTGGTACTGAGTTATCGGGGTTCCCGCTTCCTGGAGGCGAGGCCAGGGACTGCGCGGGTTAGGCAGGGGAGCCTCTAGGGGCGCAATCTCCCACCCTGGGAGCCTGGCCTGTCTCTGGGGCAAGGATTCAGCACCATGGCCAGGGCCCAAAGGCGAGTTCCGCTGGGGCCCAGGCAGCACCGGTGTTGGCTTGGCCATCTGATTTCTCTTCTCAGGGAAGACCCTTTTGTTCTATTCACTCATTTTCCTGATGAAGGAACAGAGCCCGTGAAGAGGAAGGGCCTTGGAATTCAAAGACTTGGATTTGAGTCTTGGTCCAGGCGGTTTGATCACCTGTTCCGTGGGCGAATGAGAATACCCGCTACCTTCTCAGGGTGGCCGCCAGGGTTGTCCAGGCGCTATAGCTTAGTGATCTAGACAGGAACTACTGAAACTTGAGCGTGCCTCCCGAGATGGTCCTCGGTGAAACCAGACGGCTGGGTTCCACCCAGAGATTCTGAGTCAGTAGGTCTGGAGAGGGGCCCAACATGTTGAGTTCCAACAAGCTGCCAGGTGATCTGCTGAAGCTGGCCCACCCCTCCCCTTTAAGGAGCCCCAGCTTATAGGGTAGACTCTGAGGCCAGACAGTCCCCAGTGGGAACGCCACCAGCCCTACTGTCACTGCAGAGCTTTGGACAGGTCGCTTCGCCTCTCTGATGCCTCAGCCTCATACTCTGTACAATGGGGCTAATGCGAAAGCTTCCTCAGAGGGCCCGGTGAAGGTCAAATAATGAGCCATGCTGTGCAAAGTGCTGATGGCAGTGCCTGGAGGGGGTCAAGGCTCTGTTACAATGAGTTATGATGTCATTAAAATGCTAGTAAAGGAGGGGCCAGGGTTAGTCAAGGTCATGCGGGGACTCAGTCCTCAGTTCTGCACATACCTGCTGAGCACCTGCAGTGTGTGCCAGGCCCCATGCAAGGAGCCATGGACTTAGAGATGAATTAGACTTGGTGTTCAGATCCCGGAACGTCGTCCCAGTCAGAACCTCAGGAACCAGGCCCCAGTGGCTGGGACCCAACAGGGGACAGAACAGTCCTCCCATTGCCACCCCTTGAGGAAGCCTCCGGCTCATGCCCCCACGGAATATTTCCTATTCAGCCGGAGCTCAGAGCTGAAGGGGCCCTTTAGTCAGGGGTGGGGCCACCTGCTGCAACCTCACTAGAGACAAGTTTGACCTAGCTAGTCTGGGCATGCTCCTGGTTTTCCTGCCAAGGCATTCTCCCTGCCCAGAGGCCCGTGGTGAATCCTAGAGGCTGTATAATCTAGCAGAAGGGGGGGGGGTGTCTCTGTGGTCAGATGGTCCTGGGTCTCAGCCTTATCTTGGTTCTTTGCTGGTCTTGCGTAAGTCAGTCCCTGCACCACCTCTCTGTGCCTCGAAGTCCTCATGTGGAAAAAGGGGTTCCGTCCTACACAGTGAGGTTCCGGGGACTGAGGACACAGGTGTATGTTAAGTGCCTAGCATGCAGTTGGAGCCTGAAGTGAACATCTCCCCTCCTGTCCTGAAAGGCCTTGCTGGCACTAAGGGAGCAGTCTCCTATGTGGGGCATTGGAGAAGCTTGTCCTTGGTGGCACATGAACTTTTAATAGGGGGAAATTACCCACCTTCAAGAATGATGGTGCTTTCGGGACCAGCAGTTGGCATAATGGCTATGTCGCCGGACTCCCATGTAGTCGACCACAGTTCGAGTCCCAGACCTGGTGGCTTAACCTCATGCCAGGCACGTGTGTGTGCGTGTCCAAGATCCCAAGAGGAGAATGGAAGAGAAGGGATTGCCACATGGCCATCCCCTCTGGGGGGTGTGTGTGTGTGACTTCTCACTTTCTGTCTCTCCCTCTCTTTCTAGTGAGCGCACATGCCCTATAGCAAAAACCTCTCAAAAAAAAAAAAAAAAAAAAGAATGATGGTGCTTTCATTGGGCATCTGGGGACTCTTCTAGACCCAGAGGGCAGTAGGGCAGTGTGAGGGTCCAGGGCCCAGGTTCTGGGGCCAAACCCCTTGAGCTTCCATCTCAGCATGACCACTGGCCAACTGTGTGATCCTGTGCAAGTTGCCTCACTTCCCATGCTGCTGTTATTCATACCTATAGACTGGGAGTAATGGTAGTGCCTACCTGACGGGGTCGGTTTAAGGCATCAGCAAGTGTATCCATGTAAGTCAGCTAGACTAACAGCTGGTACATAGGAAGCGCTCAGTGCTCAGTGCTGGGATAAAGACATGGCCTTTGGAACCAGCCAAACACAAGGTCCAGCCCTAACTCCAAGCCACTTCCGAACTACATGACTTCGTGCGGATGGCTCCACCTCACTACGTTCAACTTCCTCGTATGTTGGGGTGTAGCAGCAGAGGAGGGTGTGTTGTGAAGATTGAATACCATGCACGGTCATGCTCGGAGCACAGTGCCTTGTAAAGCTGCACACTGATGGTCCATCACAGGCGGTGGTTTGGGGCAGTGGAGTTTGGTGGAAGCTCTAAATAAATGGAGTACTTTTTTTTTTTTTTTTTTGCCATAGGGTACATGCACTTGCTGAAGAGAGACAGAGATAGACACAGAGACAGGGAAAGTGAGAGATCATCCTCTTTCCCCATGGGGGATGACCATGCTGCAATCTCTTCTCCATTCTCCTCTCGGGATTTTGGGCACATAGGCACACGCCCCCAGTGTGTTTTTCAAGTCGCCGGGTCAGAGACTTGAACTGTGGAGGTGGCCGTGTGGCATGGTGTACATTTTAACATGTTTTTGAGGCTGTTTCAGCTCCCAGCCTTCTCCTTTTGCACAGGAAGGGGTGAGGTTCAGAGGGGCAAAAATCCAAAGAGTCAAGAGATCAAGATTCTAGTGCCGGCTGGTCCACTCACTGGCTGGGTGCCCTGGTCCTTCCTGGTGCTCAGTTTCCTCGATGGGAAAACAGACTGGCTGTTTGATATAGCCTGCTTCCTTCCTCCCCTTCCCACCTCTCTGTGCCCTTGGGCTTCTGTGCATCCTTCTGGCCTCTGGCCTCGAGTCTGCCAGCTTTTGAAAACCAAGAGTGCTACTTACTAGCTGTGTGATGTTGAGAGGTTACTCTGTGTCTGCGCCCGTTTCTTCTCTCATACAAGGCTATTAGTAGGTACTCGTACCTACCTCACTATGTTTGTAAAGATGAAGAGTTACTACATGTTAAGTTCTTAGAACAGCGCCTGCCCCAGTGGAAGTGCTATGGAAGAGTTAGCTGTTACGCCGTTATTAGCACCAGAGTGAATCTTGGCTCCCTGCAGCAAGCCTGGTTCAGGGTTCCCTCGTCCCATCCTCTTAGGGTCTGCCCTTGTCCTAGATGTAAACAACCTAGCCTTCAGTCCCCAGGGGACAGAGACGCAGGTCTGGGTCATGCTAGGGCCCAGTGCTGACACCCGGGAATAACAGGAGGGAAGCGAGAGGTGGAGGTTGGCCCTTGCCTCCCAAGCTGGCCTTGCCTTCCAAACATGAGCATTGGCCCCTGGCCTCACCTGTGCTGCACTTAACCATTCACGGCCCCCGAAGCAGCCCACAGGTGGGGACTAATGAGGACAGCAACTGGTGGCATCTCACCACTCCTCTGATCAAAAGCCCACAGGGTCTCCCCAGCCTCTCCAGGAAAAACCCCAAATCCTGACCATGGCCTCGGGTCCTCTTGCAGAGTCTTAACCTTACTTGAGTCAAGACCCATGGAGGGAAGTTCATGGAGCCTTCTCAGAATAGAGTTTTAATTGAATAAAATAACATGCATGGGATTTTTAGATTAGAAAGGAAACTAATGATATTGAAGAACAGCTATGGAAATATTTTTAAAACAAATGTGTTATGTAAGAGGGTGTGTGTTTCTGTGTTAACCCGTTATGTAACAGCCTAGTGGCAGGGGGGGGCG